TAATATGGCCCAAACCACTTTTCAAGTCTTCTCTCTCACCATTCCCCATCCAAATTCTAAGCTTAGGCAAAACTACTATTATTCATTTCTAAAACAAATACTTTTCAACTATACAGCCTTTTTTTTATAAAGCTTATATATCTATCTGTAATTTTCTTGTCTTCCTACCTCAGAAGTTTCTGGTCATCTTTTAGAGCTCAGCTCAAACTCCACAACCATGTTCAATATCTATCCCACCTCTAAACATAAGAAAGAATTCTGAACTTCAAAACACTTAATCTAAAAAGTTACATGATAAAAGGGATCATGTCATATTTTTTAGTCCCTATGAAATCTAATAGACAATAATTAATAAGATGGATGTTTTTAAAAACACAGTAAATGGTGGAAATATTCTAAAACTAGATTATGATAGTAGCTGCATAGCTTAGTACATTTACTAAAAAACATCAAATTAAGTACTCAAAACGAGTGAAAGCTGTTAAACAAACAAACAAAAAACCCAATGAGTTTTCCTTAAAATACTGAAAAAAATTACATCTCGTCATCAGCTGACAGTGATTCATCTTGATTTGTTAAGTACTGTATTAAGGAATCTATCATCGTATTTCTAAATTCTGAAGACTTCTCAGCACTGAGTATGCCTTGGTCTGTTTTTCACTTTAATAAATACCACACTAAATCAGGCTTTCACAGGCAAGACGTCATACCTACCCGAACAGTTACTGTGTGATTGGCAGAGGGTCTCAAGGGAGGCAGTCGTGTTCCACACCTAGGCATTCTTCTCATCTCCTCAATAGGAGTTCCAAGCCATTTTTTATCTGGAGAAAGGTGAGGCGGAACGTATTTAGGGATCTTTCTTTCTGTTCTTTGATGTTTGAGTTCACATTGTTCTTTTCTAAGGCCAAGACAAATGTATTCAATCATAAATTTATTGTTTAAATTCCCACAGATACACAAATACGAAACTTACCCAGACCTTTACTGTTACGGGAGCCCATCTGGCTCTCTCTCCTCAGTTCTTTTCTGTTTACAAGCAAAAGGAAAACATATAAAGTTTACAGTAAAACCCAAGAGCTTGTTCTCAAGTCTGTAGAAGGAATTTCCAAACCCATGGAAATCACCCTCTGAAAAAAGGGACCATGTAAGAATAGGGACACTGCCAAGTAAGTCATGGTGCATAGTACCCACTGCAAATGCTGACCTGTCTCTCATGTCCCTATTCAGTAATTTTAAATGAAGTGAACTTTCCATCACATGCTAGAGAACTCTCAGAAATTATGATTTTAAGAATCATATGAAATCATGATTCTGAGAACACATTTTAAAATTCTGTATGGGTTAACGGCAAAAACATAAGCTTTGTAATCATACAGACTGGGGTTAAAATCTCAGCATCACCACCCCCAAGTTACATGACTTCAGTACATTCCTTAACCCAAATCTAAGTTGTCTCACTTGTAAACCCTGGAACACCTGGCAGGGCTGTCCCTGCGTTTGAGAAAACGTAATACGCAGTGGCCTACGACAACATCTGGCTGAATGCATGCTGGACACGACTACCCACCTGGAGTCCCCGGGTGGTGCAAACAGTTAAGTGCTCGACCAGGAGCCAAAAAGCTGACTGTTCAAATCCACCCAGAGGTGTCTTGGAAGACAGGGCTGGCAATCTGCTTTTGAAAGGTGACAGCCTTGAAAACTCTATGGAGCCATTCGACTGTGCACACACGAGGTCGCCGTGAGTCAGAAAAGACTGGATGGCAACCAACAACAACTATCAGTCTAATATTTTCATGTTCTGGTAATTCCATAAATTTTAGAAAGAAGCTTATGAAACTAAAAAATCTGATTTCCAATATTTATTTTACTTCCTGTTTTTGCCCGTTTAAGAATTTAAAATTTTGAGTCTAGGTTTAAACTCACATAAATAGTTAAAACAAGAAACCCAACTAGGTATTTCTTTGCTTCACTATAAATCATGACTTTGTTAAACCTCCTTACAAAACTATAAAATGAATTACACTATTGAAGAGAGATATCCCTGATGGAAAAAATTACCTTTTGTCCTCTGCTTTGGACATTCTTGGAAAATGATCTGTGATTTTAGAATCCTTTTTTCCAGGTTGCTTAGAATTTCTACATTCTACATTCAGAGTGGGAGTACTTCCAGGTAGTCTGGCATTTACATCATTTATTCCAGTGCAACTCTCTCCACCTTCAAACTGGAAATGTAATCTTACTTCCCCTCCCTTAGTAGAGTGCTGTTTCCTAGTCTGAGTGTCAATTTCTCTTGCTTGAAACCTTGAAGGTTTATCTGCTGTTTGGGAAGAAGGGCCATCTTCCTGTTCATCAGAACCTGGACTTGGTTCTTCATCTCCTTCAGAGTCCTGACAACTATTTTTGGAATTATCTACGTCCATTGGTGACTCGGGTTCACTTTCCTTCTCAAGTGGAAGAGAATTTCCTAGGCTACTTTCCTGTCCTCTCAATTTGTTGGCATTTTTCGGTGCAGTTCTGATGTCCTCTGACCCAACATCTGACAATGGACTCTCTGGCACGCCTATCTCTTCTTGCTGACAACTTGCACATTCTTCCACAGCATGACAAGACTTGCTGAACTTCTGGTTGCTTCTGGCTTCTCTGGCCAGTTCACCTTCAGCGGTCTGCTTTGCATTTGCAAACTTTACAGGTGTCAAAAACTGCTGATTATCTCTATTTTCTTCACTATCCGTGTCACTGTGGTCATCATTTTGGGGTGACTGATCAACATTAGCATTACTGAACTGCTCTGGTACCAGAGTTACTGTTGGAGGGTCACTTTCCAAAAGCTGCTCCATATGTTTGCCTTCATTTTGCCACTTACACGTAGTTGCAGTCTGATGCTGGTTCAAATACTGTGTAGTTTTTTCAATGGGTGATTTAGCAAGATTTAACTGAGAAACATTTTCTAATTTTTCCATGTTTTGTTGGTAAAAGTTATCTTTTTGTATAGAACTCATCATGGATTCTACTCTCGTATTGTTGTTTTCTTTACTATGCAAGCTGTAAGAGAATAGAAAGAACTAAAAACAACTTATGGTACAAGAAGAATCACTGGCCCAACCACACACCCACAATGTCCCAGCAATAATTAAACTGCGTATGGTTACCTGAGCACGCATCACGCCCAATCATGACTCCATGTCTTGGCACATGGGGCTATAATGCCCTTCCCCCAACTGCGAGCCTGGCAAACACCTGCCCTTCCTTCAAGTCTTAAACATCACTCACTTCCTTGTGCAGTCTTTCCTGATGGCCCACGGGTAAAGCTGATCATTTCTTCTACATGCTAACTACCACTGTACCTTGTTCATACCTTTACTGCTGCACATACCAACTATGCAATAATCTTGTGTTTCTGTGTCTGTCACCACCACTACACTGTAAGCATCCTGAAATCAGAGGCTATTCCTCTGTCATCTCTGTATCCCAAGGATACTGGAGAGTTCCTAGCACATAGGAGACTCTAAAAATTCATTAATTACAAGTTGAATGAATGAATGAATGTAGGAAAAAAAATGGGAAAGGGAGGAGAGAAAATAGCATGAAGCAAAATAAAACATCCATGTAGGACATTATTTATTTCTCTATATAGGCATGTTTATATACCTTTCTGATTCAGCAGTCTTGATTCCTTTAGTGTCCATCCAACTTGTAATAGGCTTTTGTTTGAGAACTGTAAAAAAAAAAACAAATAATAATAATAATAAATAATGCATATGCCTACATTCCTTCAAATAGAAAATATCTATAGCATATAATACACACAAGGTATTGTGCTAGGTTCTATGGGTTAAACAAAGATTAATCACACCCTTCCACACTCAAGTAATAGAAGCTAAGACAAAAACAAAAACATAAATACATGTGGCACAGGGTGGAAAAAGCTTCCCCTGAAGAGTTGGTATGGTCTAAGGGAGAAGAGCACAGGCTCTGCAATCAGGCCACTAGGATTCAGATCCTAGTTCTCACACTGACTTCCATATTGTGAGAGGTAATTTCTGTCTCTCAGATTCCTTATCTGTAAAACATGAAATTAGCAGTACCTGTCACGGGATTATTTTGAGGTTTAAATAATTTATGTCACACGTTTAAGGCACTATCCAGTATACGAAAGGTACTCAGTGAACTATCTGTATTATTAAAAGAAGTCCTGATAAGAAATTAAACTATTTCTGAGGTAAAGACTTTCTCTGTTCTGAGGGAACAGGAGTGAGTATAACTGGTCAGGTTTCCTGGAAGAGGTGGTGCTTGAGTTTTGCCTTGAAGGATAAGCATGTAGTCAGTCAGATAGGGAGAAAATCATAAGCAAAAGCACCAATGGCGGGGAAATATGAAGAATTTAGAAAGAAAGCAACAGAAAATATGGTTGAAAAGTCAGGGAGGACCACATAACAGAGGTCCCTGAATCACCCACAAAAGAAGGTACACAACAGTGTTGGAAATCACACCTAGAGTCATGATTATAGAATTGAGATCTAGGAGCCTCAGAGCCGATTATTAATGGATGTTTGCAGCTGTTTCTTCTCATTTTGAGTCTTGCCACATCAGTAGATGAAGATCCTGAAAGCTTGACTCCATCCACGTCATTAAGGTCTCTACTTTGAGGAGGCAGCTCTTCCCCAGTTGTATTTTGAGTGGCTTCCAACCTGAGAGGCTCGTCTTCCGGTACTATATCAGACAATGTTCCACTGGTATTTGTAAAGTTTTCACTGGCTAACTCTTTTCAGAAGTAAACCACCAGGCCCTTCTTCCTAGTCTGTCTTAGTCTGGAAGCTCAGCTGAAACCTGTCTGCCATGGGTGACCCTGCTGGTATTTGAATACTGGTGGCATAGCTTCCAGCATCACAGCAACACACATACCCCCACAGTATGACAAACTGACAGACGCATGGGGGTCTTATTTGCCTATGTCGCCTCAAACTTCAAAACACTCCTCAAAACAGATCGTGAGTCAAACATGAAAATCAACAGGTTGTTGATCACTGAGATGACGGGAAAATTAAAGTGCGTTTCATATTTTGGGAGAATTTTATATCAGAACCTATTCAAGTGCCATATGATTTATACCTTTGATGAAATACTAATATTCCAACTAGTAAAAATATTTGATTAGTATTTTTAAAATAGCTTCTAACAAAAGAATACTGAAATTGATGTTTCTTGTTGTTAAATACTACCACTTCAACGATTTTATTAAGTTACCGCCTCTGTAGAGAACCAGGCTTCAAAGAAAAAATAAGGTTTAGTCAAAAGGGAGTAAGAGGATGAACCACTTGATTCTGAGACATTTTCTAGAGTTGCATCTTCTCTATTTAGTTTCATTATACCCTGGTGGCACAGTGGTTAAGTGCTCAGCTGCTAAACTAAAGGTCAGTGATTCGAACTCACCAGCTGCTCTGCAGGAGAAAGACGTGGCAGTCTGCTTTCATAAAGATTACAGCCGTGGAAACCCTATGGGGCAGTTCTACCCTGTACTATAAGGTCACTATGAGTCAGAATTGACTCGACAGTATTGGGTTTTATAACAAAACAAGAAGTACAGTTCAGAAAAAAAATCTTCAATTATAAACTGGCAGTATGTCAAAAATTTTATTTTTGAGTCAGTTTAGAACCTAAAATATATTTTCCTTCAAATGTAAGGATTAAATACTATGCAGTGGCCAGGTTCCTAACATACACAAGAAGCTACAGAACCCAATGACTACATACTTTACTTCATAAAGAACTAAAGATGAGTGTTCCAGCGCAGTTTTGGAAGAGGGTTCTCTCTTGCAGCCTTGACAATGAGAAATTGTACTCTCTTGCTTCAGACTTCCTATTACGATTCCAAAAGCCCAAAAAAGGGATGAAGGAGGAGAGGAAAGAGATGATGAACTGATATTTTCTGCGAATAAAACGTTTCTCAGTCCAGGCAGTCCTTCTTTCCTCTTGAGGGTCCCAGAGAAAGAATCACCTACTTCTCTTTCCACTACCACTACTCAGACTTCTAAAGGTTTTCTTTCCGAATACATCATATAACTGTTTTAGAGACTCATCTCTCTTGTGTCTGAAGTAAGCATAATCATGCAGAGGGTTCCTGGGGTTTCTTTCTTTTAATTAGTCAGTACGAGTCGGAATTGACTCGATGACAGTGAGTTTGAACCATAGCAAACAAAAAGGGAGGCAAAAGGAAATGATGGAAAAGATACAACGTTTAGAGTCACATAATCTTGGATTGAAATCTTCGCTCAGACACTTAATAGTATCCCCTTAGTCAAGTTATTAACAATACTTCCTTCAAAGGGTTATGTGAATTAATGAGAGAAAATATTACATGTACAGCCTCAGAAAGTAGACACAACAAATTTTCACCCAGTCTCTTTTTTCACTGAGATCAATAGTTCTCCAATTGTATTCTGGTTTCCCATGATTTACACATACTCTCATCAATAACATCACTCAGTAACTAGACTATTTCAATGAGCAAATCATTCAATTAGCCACTACAGATACAGGCAAAAGGCACACATGCAGTAAAATTCACCTGCATTTCAAAGGAACACTCCAACTACACAACCAGTGTCTCTCCTGCAGCAGCAACAACAGCACAGGGATGTAGTGAGACCAAACAGCAATGGAAAGTGGGGGAGTTTAAGATGAGGGAAGAAGTCTGAAGATGCCTTTAGCTGCACTGAGGCTGAAAGACTGATAAGGTGATGGAGGCCAAGCCAGCTCCAGCCCCGCCAGCACTGCCTGAGACCAGGGCCATCTCTGAAAAGGGTAGGGAGGGAAACTCCAGGTAGTTATAAAGGACAGAAAAAGGAAGCTCCTATAATGACAGAACTGGGTAAATCATTCCCCATTAGGATGTGACCAGAATGCTGAGTTCTGCTTAGATGCAAATTTACAGATTTCAATTAATACAAGAAATACACCCAGGAAAATAAATGATACAAAATTTAAAAATAGCTGAATAAATGACCATTTACCTACCTCACCTATTTCTCCTTGGATAACCACATATCCTTTTTTTTTTAAGTATTGAATTCATAAAAGAATTCCAAAATATGAAACAATAGTTTCTGATACAAATTTAGACTTTGAACATTGTTAACTGGTGTCCTGAGCCATGTACACAGAAAACATTTACACACATGAAATATAGCCCAAGCATTAATTTGGTTCCGCTTCTGCAGAAAACTCAAGAACCAACAAGTGAGGACTGACTAACCACCCTTCCATAACTAACTCCTCCTCCTTTATATGCAAATAAAATTAAAGGGACTATAAATCATATGGTATCAGAAGTCAGATACAGTATCCTGGAGGTCGTCCTCAGTTCCCCCTCTCCTACACTCTCCTTCACCAAGTCCTCTGAACTCTACATCCTAAATCTTCGCTCTATCCCTTCCTCTCCAAAGTCAAAACAGCACTATCATTAAAAGAACAAGTACATCACTTATTGGACAGCTATACTTGTTTACTCCGTCTGGCCCTTCCTGTCTACAGTCTTAATTTCTCTAATCCAGTGTTTTATAAACTACAAATGACCACAATTTTTCAAATGAAACAATATAATGTAAGAATACATCAGATACAGTGTCATGGATTGAACTGTGTCCCCAAAAAATATCTGTCAACTTGGCTGGGTCATGATTCCCAGTACTGTATGATCGTATAATCTGATGTGATTTCCTTATGTGTTGTAAACTCTATCACTATGATGATGTTATATGTGATTTCCTTATGTGTTATAAATTCTATCACTGTGATAAGGTTATACTGATGAGGTTTACAAGATTGGATAGTGTCTTAACCCAATCTCTTTTGAAATATAAAAGAGAGAAGTGAGCAGAGACACATGGGAACCTCATACCACCAAGAAAGCAGTGCCAGAAGCAGAGCACGTCCTTTGGACCTGAGGTTCCTGCGCTGAGATGCTCCCAGACCAAGGCAAGACATCACAAGGACCTTCCTCCAGAGCTGAGAGAGAGAGAAAGCCTTCTCCTGGAGCTGATGCCCTTAATTTGACCTTGTAGCCTACTGGACTGTAAGAGAATAAACTTCTCTTTGTTAAAGCCATCCACTTGTGGTATTTCTGTTAGAGCAGCACTAGATGACTAAGACACACAGTAACAGCTATAAATATAATTTACCACCAGGTTATTTATATATATTTCTCCTTCCATACCAGATAAAGTTTATACTGTGGACTGCGGTCAGAAAGGAATCCTGGTGGCGGAGTGGTTAAGAGCTTGGCTGCTAACCAAAAGGTTGGCAGTTCGAATCCACCAGCCGCTCCTTGGAAACCCTAAGGGGCAATTCTACTTTGTTCTACAGGGTTGCTATGAGTCAGAATTGACTCGATGTCAATGGTTTGGTTTGGTTTGGGTTTTGCGGTCAGAAAAAATCCAAAACCTACTGCCTAAGCCAATCTTTCTAAAATATTAATCAAATGGTACTCCCCTGCTTAAAAGCTCTTTAGTGGCTCCCCATATCCACAGAATAAAGTCCAAACTCCTTTAAATGACACTCGTGTTTGTCCATGATCCCACCTTCCCAGACTCATCTATCATCCTATGCTCTATTCTACCAAACTCTGCATGTGCTGTTCTGTCTCTATAATTCTTTCTCCCCTTGATTTATATAGCAAATCCTGCTCATCGTTCAAGATTTAGTTCAAGTCAGCTCCTCACTGCCTCCAAGTCCTGACAGACCTAAGTGTACACTCCCCCAGAGGACCGCCTGACCTCTGCCCAGCTTCTGACAGTTTAGTGATGCATCCTTATTGAAACGCTCACTTCTCTGCCTAACACAACACAGGCCAGGTTTTCCTACCTCTCTGGCCACTCCTCTTCAGTCTAACCTTAAATGTTAGTGTTCCTAAAGGTTCTGTACTAGGTCACCTTTACTTCTCTCTACATGCTTTATGATCTAATCTACTTCCATAGCATCGATCATCATGTTTATGCCAAAAACTCCCAAATCTGTATCTTCAGCACATACATAATTCTTCTGGGGTAGAATAAAACCCAAAAAACCAAAGCCATTGCCGTCTAGTCAATTCCGACTCCCAGCAACCCTGTAAGACAGAGTAGAACCGCCCCATAGAGTTTCCAAGGAGTGCCTGCTGGATTCAAACTGCTGACCTTTTGGTTAGCAGCCGTAGCAGTTAACCACTACGCCACCAGGGTTTCCTATTCTCTCCTGAATCCAAGGCCCACATCAAAGTCTAAGCCACCATTATCTCCTATCAAGACTAACTCCTTAACTAGTCTTGGCCTTCCACTTCTGCTCCCTTTCATTCTGTTCTTGATTTTCCGCACACCAGTCACAGGGACCTTTCCCCCTCTCCCTACCCTCCCCAAAATCTGATCAAGTCACTCCCCTACCTAAAACCTTTTGATGACTTCTCATTGCCTTTAGTGATAAAGCTCAAAATCCTTAGCCAGGCCCAGCATGAGCTGACCTTTGCAGCTCCATCTCTCACTACTCTTCCCTGTTCATTCTCTGTACCAGCCAAACTCCTGGCCCACTTTCCCACTTCATCCAACTTCCCTCCCTTCATCCAGCAAACTCCTACTCATTCTTCAGGCCTCAGAATAGCATCCCATCTTCCAGGAGACTATCTTTGATCCTATAGTCTAGGTTAGGTACTCCTTCTGACTCCTACCATAACAATCTGTTTCTTGTGTATCACAGCATCCATTACCCTTTATTACATTAATCTGTGTAATTGTCTACCTGTCTTGATAGAGTTTAGGATTTAAAGACAGAAGTCAAGTTCCTCTTGTTCAATACTGTACACAGGAACTAATACACCGCCAGCTAAGATCTACAGCTCTGCGCCTCGGAAAAAAATGGTCCCAGAATCTGGATGACTGAAACTGCAAAAGCTTCCTATCCAGAGGCTGGAGCGCACTGCAGCTCCACATACACAACCAGACCTTCTTGACTATTAAGGCAATCTCTCAATCAAACCAGAGGAAAGCAAACAGGTGGAGTCTTCTGACATTTTCCGCCCTATGAGTGTTTGCTCATGAGTTTCTCACACTACCAATCTCACCGAGAAAAATACAGTCCCATTTTCCCACTAGTGGCCTTGTTGCTCAGTAAGGGGACCTCAGAGTGGTGCACATAAGACTAGAAAGGAGTCACTGGAGTCTCTGCGTCCTCAGACTGAGATCAGGAGGTTCGGGCCAGGGCGAAGGACAAAGACTTTTATTTCCCCACGTACCAAGCGAGGTAGCGCTGCCTCTGTGCGGTCCCGCCCGCCCGGGGACGCAGCCTGGCGAGGACGGTAGGACCCTGAACTGCACGGAAGCGTCCTTGGGGTGGAGGACGCGCCTCTGCCTGCCGGGGAAGCTCCGGGCGTCCGAGGGGGCTGGCGGAGAAGTTGCAGCGGCGCCCCAGCGGGGTCGCTTGGTGCAGGGCTCACAGCCAGGGCCCGCACTCATGCTGGGATCCGCAACACACAGTCCCCGGGCCGGCCCGGGCAGAGAGCCTCATTCACAAACCCTGAGAGGGTCGGACTGCGCCTCCTTCTCGGCGCCTCCCCGCACCATTCTCTCTCTGCCACTGCCTGCTTCTGCAGCTGTTGCTCCGCTGGCCTCCCACGCCGGGCCCTAGCCGTCCGCCTGCCTTCCCTCTTCCACAGGAACCCCACCTGCCTCAGGTTGCGCCGCTTTGATTCTGGGTTCGTTCACTTTCCCACCACCGGAGAGCTGCCGTCAGGCACTTCTGGGTTCCGGGGCGTGCACTGTCGCAAAACGGAAATGTGGCGCATTGGGCGCCGTCCCCCGGAAGGTCAGCGTGTTAAGGAGCCGGTGGTAGCAAGGGTTTCCCCGCCGTTACTGAAGAGTAACGGCCGAGCAGACGACCCCCCGGCCTTAGAGGGTGGCGGAAAGCAGACGAGAAGGGAGCTGCGACACCATGGAGGGCGGCGGGGGAAGCGGCAACAAGACCACGGGGGGCTTGGCGGGCTTTTTCGGAGCCGGCGGAGCTGGTTACTCGCACGCGGATTTGGCCGGCGTTCCCCGTAAGTATCGGGCCTAGCCTGCGAACATTTCTGACTGGCTCCTGCGGCTACGCTAAACATGCGACTACCCCCCACCCCACCCTTTTTTTGGCTGACATTCAAAAGCCTCAGTCAACCGGTGGGGTTAGGGTGCCGGCTCAGCCGCTCTTTCAAGAGTAAACGAATTTTGAGGGCCATGAATTTTCGAGATGCTTTCAGAGGTGCAGCATGTATTCTTCCATTGGTATCCAAGCCTCGTACGTTTTTCCTCATACACATTCCTTGTGTGTGGGGCCGTGTGCTTGGCCGTATGTTAAAAGGAGACTCCAGCTCTGCAAGTAAATGCATCGCATATGTCGGGCCCGTAGTTAACTTATTAGCACAAAGTTACATATTCTAAATCCCAAACTACCCGTTAGGATAAAACTTTCAGTCATAATGCGTATAGGAGACAAATACGATTTGAAACATACGAGGAATATCTAGAGGAGTTCAAAAGTGAGCTGAACTTCAAAGGTGATTTGTAGACGTGAAGAAAAAAGCCAATTAAGGATTCTAGGAAGGGAAATACGCAAGATCAAGGGTACAGAGGCATGAATATCCTGGCTGTGCCCTATCCACAATCCTGGGAATACGTATTCCAGGTCTTTGGGATTTTATGGCTGTAGGTGTCTTACTGGATACATAGCAGTTGGACCTAAACATGGTAGGAAGTTGATGATGGATAAGCCCTTTACGAAAGTTTTTTTTTTTTGTTTGAAATTTTGTACTATTTCTCTAGGACGTTCATGCTCAAAAACAAAGCCTTTTCATAGCCTTTGTGTCACCTGTGTCAAAACTGGGTCTAGAACATGGTTTGTAGATAATGAGTCTTAGAAGCTCTGAGTTTCAGAGCACAGAGGACACTAATATGACAAAGTACTGGTACATTAATTTGATTAAGATCTGAAGATAAATTGAGGGTCCAGAGGGTGAATATCATTCACAGAGCACCTGCAATTGCCAGATGCTTTTCTGGGTTTGAGACTCCAGCAGTTTAACTTTTATGAAGCTTGCATCCTGCTGAGGTGAGTCAAGCAACAAGTAAAAAAATTTCAGTTAGTGATAAGTGCTGCCAAGTAATGTAAGTGAGAAACATTTCAGTTACTGGTAAGTGCTGTAAAGGAAAGAAAACTGGGTCGTGAGATGGCGGTGGAGTGGGAGGGGGGAGCATTTTAGAATGGTTGGTCAGGGAAAACAGCGTAGAGGAGTTGAGCACTGACCGGAATGCAGAGCTATCCGAACAGTTTTTAGGACACTGTGTCTGCAGTGTTAAAGAAGTTGGAAAGGTAAGAGATAATGAGGTCCGAAAGGCAGGGAATGGCAGCTAATGTAGGGTTTTGTAAGCCGTGGTAAGGGATTTGGATTTGATTATATGTGTAGAGAGAAGCCATTAGAGCTGATTTCCTTTTCTTAAAAACTGCTCTAGTTGCTGTGTAGAAAGTAGATTGAAGAGGCAGGAGGAAGTAAAGAATCCAGTTAGGTAGGAGACTGTTGTTGCGGTCAAGTTGAGACTTGGTGGTAGGAGTAGGGTGATGGCAATAGAGATGGTGGTATCATAATTCAAGAAATACAGTAAAACCTGCGAAAGCTGGAACCTGTGTAAGGCAAAAACCTGGCAGAGAAGGAAAATGCAAATATTTTCCACTAAAACGAGTGATAGAAAAGTGGTAAGAACGCACCCTGTCAGTGGCAGAAAACTTGCAAGACCAGGAAAAACAAGGCTGTCTTGTCGAGTTTTGGCTCTCACAGGTTTCACTGTACGTTGAAAGTAGAATTAACAGAATTTTTGTTGGTGAAAAGGCGAGGCATGGGTGCTACATAAATGTGCGAACAATCAACTGAGGTACATAAGGATCCAAAGATAAAAATTTACGAAAGTTGGTTTTCCTTGATATATATTTCTCTCTTTAAAATTAGTGGAATCCAGGTCTTGCCCTCTGAAAGTTTATGTTCTCTTTTGCCCCAACCCTGATCTTTATGATAATGACCAAAGAATTCTCTACTTTGCCAAGGTAAATCAAGGCAGCAACTGTCAGCACTGAAGTCTAAAGGAACTGCCTTTAAATGTTTATACACAACACATACACACTCAGAACCCCAACCCAACCACTGTTTTTCCATGAAATTTTTCTCTTGTTAGTCTTATTTTGCTGTTTGTATAATTATCAAGTATTCTTTCAGTAAAGTAGAAAGGAGTTAACCTTAAAAATTGACTTGGGCTATGCATTCCGCTATTTGGTATTTGATCTACGTTACTATCAGTATCTTCTTGGTATGAGAGCCTGGGCTACCGATACAAAGCCTGGTTTGAGACTGAGCCCCAAAACTGCCACTGAATAAAAACCAAACCAACACGTTGCCATCGAGTTGATTCTGACTCATGGTGACCCCACGTGTTACAGAGTAAAACTGCTCCATACAGTTTTCTTGGTTATAATCCAGAGGCATCTTAGAAGACAGGCCTAGCGATCTGCTACCAAAAGATCACAGCCTTGAAAACCCTGTGGAGCAGTTCTACTCTGCACACCTGGGGTCACCGTTAGTTGGAATTGACTTGATGGCAACTAACAACAACAACAATCTTTATGGAAGCAGGTCTC